TCCTTCGTCCAGAAACCTTTCTCTGAAAGTGGGATAATGTATGTATAGATTAATTCAGAAGACAGTCATATTCCCATTCTAAAACATTTCGAATGACTGAAAGACGTATTTTTCATGCATGCCTGTACCATTAGAAATTTCACGATGTTTTTTTACCAGTCAAGCACAGACGACTTCCATGTTAGTTTTATGGTTTCAAAGTACAAAGATCTGGAGGACTCCAGTGGTTTGATGTTGATATTAATTTTCATGAAATTCAGCCCAATAAAGAGAAAAATTGAGAAGAAGATGGATAAATAAATACTCACACAGACAAACTGATACACATACAGACAGACACATAGAAATGTGAGGTTTTGTGATGTTTCTAACTCAAGCAGTCGTATATAAATACTCCACGCTGTTCGGGGAAACTGCATAAAAGTGACAGGACAGTTTCCTACCAGTAATATTTGTCACGACTGCATGATTTATCAACAGCAGCTGAAGACGGATATCTCTGTGAGATCCCCCGCCCCCCCCCTTTTCCTTAAATTTACTACAGCTTAAATTTTAAATAATTTCGTGTCATGCGTATTCAAATAAACTCATCCCACGGCAGAAAGTCCTCATTCAGCATCTGTCTTTCAACTGTTCAACAAGTTCCATGCTTATATAGCACCAACAGTCATAACCGAGTTCGCATAAATGTACCAATAATATGGCAGCTGCATGAAAAAAACAATTTTTAATTGACCACAATTCGATACTGTGACCCCATGCGTAAGAGTGCAGTATGTTATGACAGCTATTGCGCGTTATAAAACACTAGTCTTGATTTATAGTACTTAAAGAAGACTTTAAATCCACGTGATTTCCATTACCTCCAACCTGTCTTATACATCGTAATACGAGGACGCTCCGTGCCGTGGCGACAAAAGAACCCGAGAAGACGGAACAAACAGAAAATACTAATTTTTCCGATTCGATTTATCACAACACTTCCAGAACGAAACTGACGATGATGATGAATTGCTGTTATTTCAAAAGACGACGGGGTGCGAGAACACAACATAAAGGGTCTGAGCACCTGTACAAGTCTTGGACTTGTCCGGGAGGCAATTACTCAAGTACATCAAATAAGCACAGTCACTACTCAAAAATAATGGACTTCAGTCATTTCTACGCAATGCAGTGACTGGCTCACGTGCAATCAGTCTCTCTCTCTCTCTCCCACACACACATAACAAATCAGCTGTTTGAGTTATAGACTGAAGGTTAGAAGTTGGGATAAAGTCTGACTATCCAGTCGAACTCTCACGTTATTTTATTCAGACGTTCCAGTGTGCCTACACTGAAATAGGACCCAACTGTTTACCTCCACGTTCTTTCCAATTTATCACTTACGATCAACCGTACACCGACATGTAGCTTTTGTATTTAACGCGCCATTATTAAATAAGCGAGGTTTCTGGGGTTGTAGCGCCGTGCAGTCTGGTAGAAGTTTTCCAATATTTCATAGGTCCTAATGCCTCCATTTTCAGGGCGACTGCCCTTCATCCTCAAATTAGCTCTTTGTCTGTGACGTAATGTTTTGTGCATGTATGCAAGTTTGGTTTTTCATTCTCTTCGTAGACTCGTCTTTTATTTTATAACCAATTAATCAAAATTTATAGACCTGCTGCAACAATCTATCTTAATTCAATTAAGAGGTCTATTTGTTTACGTTTCTAGCTTCCTTATTCAACAAACGAATCCCTAGGCTTCTTACTACCCATGTTGTTCTTTTACTTTCAATTCTTCTTCTACTCAGCATTATTCCTTCTGTTCATCTTCCTCATTCTATCTTCCTAAATTCTACTTCTTATTCTAATTCTACTTACTTCTTTTCTGGTAAATTACAATGAGGGTAATTTCCTTTCTCACGTGTTTACATTTCTTGCAAACTGAGAACTCTATTTCAACGTAAGACAGAAAGTGACAGGGTAATTAAAATTCACACAACGAAAAGCTTCCCAAATTCTCTTCTCTGCTAGTAGTGTTGATCCATACAATTTTAACAACGGCTCATCAATTGCAGAAGTCGTTTACCGCCCATTCAGATTACAGATTATAAACTGCGAATAAAAATGGTAAGACATCAAATTACGGCCTAATTAAAAGTAAACGGACACATAAAAACCAACGCAACATCACTGATTAACAGCTGATACCTTAGTCAAAATCTTGTTTGAGTTAAACAGGATACAGTAAACAAGAAATGTGCATAGAATTTTAAATTGCAAGCTAAATCCTTGAATAGGACAAATTTTAAGGTTAAAATAAAAAAAAGCATAGAAGTTTAACGGTCATTTGCGAAGTACATTAAAATGAGCGCCACATAAACTCGATGATTCGTTTCAAGGGCAAATTTGTGACCAATGGCAAGTTTTTGCGATTTCGTTAATAGAAATTGGCGTAGCGATAAGTACCAGATCTGAATCTCGCCTGACCTGTGCCACTAAGTCTTCTCGTGGTTTTCTCAGTCGTTCTAGGCAACTACTGAACTAACACCTTCGAGCGGTCCTACCGCTTCCTTCCATATTCTTACCCACGCAACATTCACACACCTTCCCGATTCATTCCCGCTAATGATTCCTGTAGATGAAATACTTCCCACCAACCACGAAAACATTAAGAACTTAATACCAGGTAGTCGGTTAAAAGCCCATTCTAACAGAGTATCCATTACAACATGCAGAGACTGTTACAACAACCCACATTAAAATATTAATCTAATAATTCACATCCATGTCTCTAATGCTAATACCTTGTTTGCTCCGACACCAAACCGTGTCTAATTCTAACGACAGGCCAGGAACCAGTACCCAAGGCTACGCGAGTCAGGACAGGTGCTTCTTTGAGACCATTATTTATTACACAAAGCCGCGGTAGGCTAAACCATGCTACGTGTAATTTATTTTCTATATGACGCCCAATGGATTATTTATATAGGCACAACAGCTATTTATATGTTATTCGAAAGATGAAATCGTAGAATAATGGACTAACAACGAATCCAAGTCTTTCAACGAACACGAATGTCACATTTAGAAAAAAGAAAGAAAGAATACAAACAATAATAAAAACAAATTACCGGTCATAAAACATCCTGTAACAATTTTATCTTGCCAGAAGCACAACAAGTTTGTTAGTGTGTAGACAAGGTGAAATAAAGTATTGTTATAAATTTCATTTGAACTACGCGGGATTACATACTGGGAGCCATATACAATTGTGAATAATATAAACAAGCAACACACATCGGCGATGGCTGTCTTCTGGTTTGTAGCGCCCTGTACTCTGGTAAACGTTTACCGACGTTTCAGAGATCACTGCTGTCATTTGACGCATTTTTCAGTGCCAAGTCAGATTTGTCAAAGTTTCATGAACCACATGGGTCAGCTAGTACCGAGACGACATGAAAACAAAAGTTTTGTTTTCTTGTATTCTTCTCCACAATTTCCTCTTCTCTTGCCTTCCGCCTCCGTCTCACTCTCTTCCTCTTTAGACCCAGATAGAATTTCTGGGCACAGATATAAAGTGAAATGACGGAACAATGAAGAAAATCATATAACATTTCTGAATTGTGGTCCATGACGAAGAGAAAACGATGTAAACCATTACGAATATTTATTAAATTTATATTTTTTCGCTCTGAAGCTAAAGTCCATCCGAATAATATTTAAGGATTCAGTTTTTACCGCAAAGTAAAAACACGTCTACAGCGCAGACATCAATGGGTTAACGTCGTTAAAGAAAATAATCCCTGTTTATTCTTAGAAACATATGAAAGCTAGAAACAAATTCTGCGGGGAAAAATACAGAGTCCATTATTAAAGTAGTGGTACATATTATTACCACTGCTTTAAGGGGTTAATGGGAACGGGTAAGCTACTGAGTAAAGATGTTGATGGCGAATACAAATCCTTAAGCTAAATGCGTATTTTCTCCGTCCTTCTGTCATTCTTCCCAACTTGCGGTCCTTTTTAACTTAAAATAAATTATTTAAACTTAAGAATCTCATGACACATAAGTGTACATTACGTACAAGATTTTAATTCCATTGCCCGTTTTAGAATTCAGGCTGATGTGAAAATTTAAACATAATTTGCAGAAAAAATGTCATGGAAGGAAACAGAATTATCAACTTAAGGATTTTATACAAAAAAACTCGGCGATGCTGTATTAATTTTGATAACGTGTGGAAGTAGCGAGTTGGTTTCGAAAGGGCCGATATTTCGTCGCCCCCCCACCCCAAAGACTGAAGCTTAGAGAGAAGTGAGTTAATGACGATCATTAGCAGCTGGAGAAGATATCATTTGCATGAAGCTGGCATTAGCGAAGAAGACGTCGCCACAGTAGCAATCCCACTAACCCACGCAGCACAAAGTAGAAACTAAAATACTTCAAAAGATACTCAAAAGTCTTACAATTCTTGAACACCGAAGATGTCATCGAGTTCTTAAATCCTTCAGATTAGAGGGTTCCCATAACCTGACTGACCCTAGGGATTAAACGTTTACAGATATTTTGCGTCCAGTATAACAAATTTGGTTTATCTAATCCTACAGCCGTCAACTTGATATGACATTCACTTAACCGTGACCTCAACACGACATGAGTATGGCCATTCAGAAACCTACAATTCGGCAGAAATAAGCGTGAAAAAATGACCTTGAAATTTAAACGACCTATAATCAGCAAACCCTTGCCCTGACATCAGCTTTACCTACCCTATTTGAAAGCGTCTTGTAACTACATTCGACGATACAGAAGGCAAAACTGCAAAAAGAACTTGTTACTTGTTTATTTTCCGATAAGAGATGTGACCAAAAAGTAAACACCTGCTTAAAATATGAACGTTTGTGTAGCGAATCTACCGAACTGAATAAATCTTTTTTGCACAGATACTTAGATATCAGCCAAGCCGTTCATATCACTTAGAAAGTCACGTTTCCTACACCCAACGACTCACTTACCAGGTTCGCTTATCAGGACGCCGGTGTCTAGGTCTCGCCTCACTACGATGTCGCAGTCTACCGAGTAGAAGTTAAGAAGCTTATTCCATTCGACCTCTGTTACCACCACGAACCGATTACTGCAACAAACAAAAACCTGTATTATCAATTACAAATAACGCGAGAACATCAAAGTTCTTTATACCTGTCGGTAGTCATTAAATTTACTGTCTTCTTTCTGTCATTTTCTCCTTGTTACGGTTAAACTGAAGAGTGTGGAAAAAGATGTTGCAGGTGATAAGATGGAGTCGTGAAAATATTGAAATTACAGAAGCTGCAGGTAAGATTAGCCTTTAATTAATTCAGAAATGCCAAAAATAGTTTACTTATTGGCGATATCGTCCTATTATTTCAGGAAAAAATACTTATATAATAGATTCAAAATTGGCGTACAATAATGTTGGAAATAAAAAATAACAATACCATCTTGCAAATGGCTCACTACGCTAACACTTATATAATCAGACTAATTTTTATTTGAGGATAATGTTTACAACATTATTTCCGGATCACTCATGTTGGAAAACGTGTACAATCACGAAGTTTGATACAGAATGAGCCCGGTGATTGTCAGACTTTTCATACAGTTTATTACAAATACGAGTTGAACTTCCTGTTATACCATTATTCCTACTCATCGAGTATACTAGTGGCAAACAACGTTAAAAATTGATGACGTATAAAAGTAAACTGAAAGTTCCTGGGAGTTTTAATTATAAATAAGTTTCTATTCACATTGTTAAGGATTAAATAACGCTTTAACTCACATAACTAATTAAGTTTACGAAGTGAGTGGTGTTGGGGGAAGGGTATATTGATGTGTTATTTAGTTTTTGCCTTGATGTAGACTGAATGCTGCGTGTGTGGGGACATGTTTGCGGCAATATGGCGGCCAACGTGTTAAATGCAGCAGCAGTACCACAGATGGGGGATAACAACTCCAGCCCCTGTCATGCTAACACTAATCGCCTATTAATTGCCATGATATGACGAGCCTAAGTTTCATTGGCCTTCTGCAGCAGCCTGATACGGGCCACAACCAACTGAATGCTTAATGCCTGCTCCATGGACATAGCCCAGTGTTCCCCAGACTCAGGCTATGACGCTGATTGAGTCCTGGGTTATGTAACAACGCTGTTTCAGCTGGTGAGAGTCAAACGTGTGAAGATGAACAAGAAATGTAAGTACGGTACATAAGGATTTGGAAGGTGTTTCGGCTGCAAAAGTTATATAACCAGTTGACGATCGTACCTGAGCCATTTTCGTCGCGTTCGTAACTAAAAGTTGAAGAAAAAAAATTCTACAAGTTTAATCATGTCTGACTGTCTACATGTAAGAACTCAGGATCGGCCAAACGTATTGGCATGGAATTTGATATTTTGGCGTTTTACTAAAAAGTGTCAGCATATTCTAATTTTGGTTTAAATGTGACAATAATAACGAGCACTTCACGTTAAGATCTACATGCGTTTCTGGATGGGTAATCCCCACGGACACTTCTCAACTTTATTACTTTGGTTACCACTGCTAACTTGACTGTGATATGTACCATAATTACCACGTTTAACGTGAGTAATCCCTAATCAATCGCATAGCTATGCCACTCGCAAAGGTCAAAGGACGAATTCTGGAAAATGCACCACAATCGTCACATTATGGGTACATTTCCTAACTCGTTTGACTAGATGTTAACTAAACTTGGTTGCAAATGCATATTTAGAAACTGGCAAAAGAGTGCTTAATCATATTCCTTGCATTTTTTCTAAATCTTACCATACCAAAAAAGTGCCGATATTTTGTTGTTACATTGTTAAGACCGGCTGTGGGCCCCACTCAGCCATAAACACAAAGTTACCAATGTTTTAACACAGAATTTTCCTGCATTTCCTCAACTAACAGTATCTTCTAAATTTCCTCAGTTAACGTCTCGGTAAAAGTAACTGACCATTCCACCACTAGGTCAACCTGTGATGAAGTTGTAACCTACATGCAACGCTGGCTAATACAGCACATGAAAACAGGCCTAAGTACAAATGTACAAGTACGAACAGCACTAAATGCCACTTGTGCACTTAATGGTAGTTATTATAAAAAATAATGGCTCCATATTGCACATTAACGCGACCCTAAAATTTGCATAATGACAAACACACAACAATGCATCTGTGGCTAACTCACTCATTCGCCCCCACCCCATTCTCCGTTTTCAATTTTCAAATACGTGGGCTCATGCATAAACATGGACCTATGATATAAATTATTAAAGCTAAATTAAAATTAGCCTAAACCTTAATGACGGATAAGCAGTTGACTAAGTCGGTCATTTTCAACGATATTATTACAGCTTTCGAGGTCATGAAATGTGATAAAATGTTTATGAACGAACCAGCGTTATGAGTAGTCAAAGTTAGCGGATATAATCCTTTTTAGTGCCGAACAGTATTCCAGTGTTACAATTTACTATAGCATTATAAGTCATTCATCGCCCTGATGATGGAGGCATTAAGCACCTCTGAAACGTCGGTTAACTTCTACGAGACTACAAGGAGCAAAATCCAAAGACTACAACGAACCAAACTTAAATCCGCCCAACAATTTCCAGTATGAGACATGCATTTAACCAGTTGAATCGAAATCCTTTCAGTCGGTTCGACATAACCTCATTTTCTTAGCGTTTAACGAAGAACAGCCGAACGTGGGCTGGTTTGAATTTTTTCCGGGTTCTATTCTTCCCACCCCTGAGCAGCACGAACGTACAGGGAAACTATTGGCAAAAGTACAACAACAACAACCTATGAAGTCTCTCGCCCACATACGGCGAACCAATTTAAACTCCTAAGTGTTGAGGAATGATGGTCTCGTGTCCACTGAAGCTGATCTAAAGCTACTCCGGTAATTAATCAAACCCACAACAAAGTTAAATTAGCATGCTTCTGTGTGTGGAAGCCAAGCTCGGTCCACAATCAGTATATCAACTCCAAAACATGGCCTATGGAACGTCGCCCTGTTAAAACAGGACTCCATTCCTTGCCGTTAACACCCGATCTTCCAGTATGAGTAAATACACTTTACATCTATTACCGGCACCACTAAAAACATAACAGATGGATTTACATCAAATTTAGTATCCGTACCATTCATACATTTAATGAAGACGCCAGTCTTCTGGGATACCACGCTGTGTTGTCTCGCAGAAGTTTCCCTAATGATGGAGGTACTGAGCACCGCTGAAACGTCGGTCAACTTATCAATCTGCTCCTAATGCCGAGTTTAAGAACTGAATGTAAATGCATCTCCATATCCCGCATACGTCATCACGGAACGGTGTTCAGGCGCAAGGATGTTCCATCTATTCCTGAACTATACAGCCTACTTCACCCTAGCAGAAGACATTCAGTAGGCTGCTGCATACATTTAAAGTCGTTCTGCTTCGGCAAAACACCGACAACTTTGAGAACTGACATTACTATGCTAATACAAAAACACTACGTCCTTCTGGATCCAACGACACCCTGAAAACCAATATTTAAAACAAAATTCGATTGAAAATCGAATACTCGCAACTCAAAACTCGGAAGGGAAGATTCCACTATCGGCTACAGGAAGTTTAAATATGCGCAATGTCCTTTCCAACATACTGTATGATCAAAAAGCCAGTTGCTAAAGTAAACGTTTGCTGTTTCACACACCCCGTAAGATGTTCGAAGGGGTCATTTTCCTCTATGTCCAATCCACAACACTGTAATACATAATATACCATTTGGCAACCGACTTCTGACTAAAACATAGCGTCTGTCAGTATGACGACCGTCTGAATGTTATATTACGCGCCAGAAGCTGTACAGATTTCCCGATCAAACTCGAAAGGTTTACTTATTTCCTACCAAGAGCAGTAATTACAAAATAAGGTAAAATATCCATTAGCCTAGCAGGCTACATTAACAACAACGATGTCAGTAGCCAATATTATATAAGCCGGAAGATAGCATAATTAATTAATAATGAAATTTAAAGAATTTTGAAGGAAGTGGTAACTATCCCAGCATTCCGGTATTTGACTGGAGGTACTGAGAAAAATCGGAAACCCTCAGTCAAGACAGTCGGTCTTCGAGGCGAAATCTCAGGATGGGACCTCCCGGA